TCTGTGCCTCCAATTAGTTAAGCTAGGAAGCTGAAATTCTACGAAGAAATTCTGTGTCCCACTCGCGGGCAATCAAAATCGGCTTTAAGGATGCCTAGGTCTCGAGCGCAATTGAATAGTTAATTTGGGGCACTGCTGGCACCCAATTAATTTGGTAACCAGACTGCTTAGAAAGCAGCATTTTTTTTGGAGATCTCTTTGCTGCTCATATGCGAAGCAGCAAACATAAAATAAGCTTTTGTTTAGGCACACGCGCTGCACACAAACGCACCACAAGTTTCAAGTTGCAGTACCCAATGCAGGAAATTTCTGTGCAAGCGGGGTCATGAAAAAAAGCATGATAGCAGCTGTAAGGGCAGTGCGCCGCTAATTGGCTTTCATTTTATAAAAACTCTTGCAATACCGTCAAGACAATGGATTTGTTGATACTGAAGAAGCCACCGGCGGAGAAAGCAAAACTTTCGGAACGAACATTTATCGTGAAAAACTGCACATAATTCTGCAAATTCAGAGGTTACTGCTGTAAAAAAGGAAATTTTGAAAGGATGTCATATGGAACTTTCAGCTATTAATAAGTTAACTTAAATCCACTTGACTGTTGCAAGCCGTTCCGGAAGAAAACAACGAAGTGGGCTGAAATTTGCTACTTGCGAATGATAAAACTGCTATCGATAGCCTCCATTCAGAGCCATCTAACAAAACAACATTGAATTTTTTGTCTGATGACCTGCGAATGGCAGAAACTTACAACCAGTGCGCTGTCGTTTGACGTGAACATTAGTTGCGTAAATATCTGTGCACTAATTGCAGACAGTTCTTTGCTCTGAAATACGTCTGTCATTTCGCAGCTTTCTGTTACAGTATATTTTACTAGTAGTGCATTACGTAGCACTTATCTGTTGGAACTTAATTAATTAAAATATTTGCTTTGGGACCCCTTGTAATTTGAAAAGATCCAAAGGTCTTTGCTAAAACACCTGACAATCCTGGTTATCAAATTCTTCGTTACCTAATTTCCGTGGTGGGTGGATCAAGAGAGTCAACTCCCTCATCAACAATAAAGCAGTGCTGGAACCGAAAGCATCAATCAGGGAAGAGCGTCCTAGAGTTGCACACTCTGAATTTCAGCGCAACGCAGAAAACGCAAAAGAAACTCACTGAAATTTCGTACTACACAAGGTCTATTAATTTTCATGCGGTTCAGCTTATATGCAAATGCAAAAACATATCTTCTGACAGCCCATGATGTGCGTGCGCGTGTATTTTTGTGTGTAGTTGCGTGTTTGTGTGTGCGTGTCTGTTCGGGTATTTAATTCGGTAACCAAGCAAGCTTCGGTTCCGAAATTTTGCGACTGTGTTCTACGGCTAAGTGGCAAGCTAGAACCGCGGCAAAAACCCTGACGCATGTCTGTGCCCAGTTTGCGACTAAGTTTTTGTGGAAAGGTTGCTAACACACCGGAAAAGCTGGAAAGATGACATTTTGACAGAATGTTCCTTGTTCAAGCACTACGTAGTTGCACAATTAACTTCCTGAACTTCATGGAGCAGTATGTCACAAATTTTACCCACTGGGATCCCAAGCGATCTTACTGCAGCACGAAATATTGCAAAAACGCATGATCGCGCGGGCTCACCTGGTGCGCGCCGCAAGTAACAAATATCAACTTTCACTTAAAATATTAGATTTTAGCTAGTCTTTGGTACGGTGCAATACAGAGACCTAGCTATGTCGGGGTTACTCATTCTAGAATTGGACAAGTTCAGTGTGGAACCTGCTCCACATTCGTTTTGAGGCTACTAGATCTAAGAAAAGCTTACTTTTTCAAGAAGTGTGATGGCGGGTTTTGTGAAGACAAGAATCATCAAAGTCAAATGTATAATCCAGAACGCGAAAATCATATATTCAATGAGCGGATAACCGTAGCTGTTATCACAGCGTTCTTGCAACGTTACGTATAGAATGAAGCAGAGCAGCGGAACGGATACAATATACAAATAGAAATGGACGTACGAGTACTGCCTATTCACCTCACCGAATGCACCATGCAGTTCCTAAAACTCAAGCTGGAACGCACGAGGCAGGCCGGTGCGATTACGCGTTTTTGCACTTTTCGTGTCGTAGCAAGATCGAACCATTTAGGCAGTTAGTGACCTGAGCACTTCAAATCCGATGCAAAAACGCATGATCGCACGGGCCCACCTAGTGCGTTCCAGCGTGGGTTTGGTTTTTAAATTCATAATGGCCCCTCGATCTTTCACTGCAATGTCTGAAAGTTAAAAATACCCAGTGCAAATCCAGGGGGGAAGTCAAACATTCACCCACATTTTCACTATGATTGGAGTCACATTGTTTATTAGCTCCTCTAACCGAAGTCCGTCGTTTTAAGTCATGATTCAAATGCCAGAGCATAGAGAAATAATTGGGACCCGCGGGAAAAAATTAAGGCTGCGTCCTGCATAGAAGCAGTGATTCCAAAGTGTTTTGGGATTCAGAAAAGTCAATTCTAGAATATTACTTGAAAAGGTGGGTCTACAGTGTATTATGCTGTAGTAAAATACGGGTCAGCAGGTTCGCGACAAAAGCTGGTGCATACATAACGTCTACACGCTTAAAACGCAGAGCAGTTGTTTTTCGAGGAACTGCCACATCCGACGTACAGAACAGACTTCTTCGCCTATGAGCATCATTTCTTTGGATCACGTAATTTTCTAAAAGACTGTCGGCTGCTACGGCTGAAGATTGCAGAAAGCGGTACAAATGCTTGAGCGACAGTGGGGAAAGTGAAATGGAACGGATTGGACTAAGTGTCATACATAGGATGCAGTCTGTGTTTCACCGCTTAGCTGTAAGCACAGGTCTAACTTTGCCTGCGAATAAGAACGGGAGTCATGAGTACCCGTCAGGTCCTAAACAGTCATGTGACTAATTTGTAAGACGGATATGAGAGGAAGAGAAGACAGGGAGAGAGAGAAAGATCCGAGAGAATGACAGAAGAGAGGAAGAAAGTTAACCAGTGGCACAGACAATCGCTGTTTGTTACTTACAAGCCAGCATTTTTAATGAGAATAATGTACTGACTAGGCTTTTAATTCCTGAATCATCAGGGACAATGAACATGCTGAGTACTGGTCGATTCTTAAAGCAGAAGCTGAGAATGGAACTTTCAGTTTCGTAATATCAAACCTCTTATGTCTTATGGGCCTTTTAGCCCAGTCATAGAATACCTCAGGAAGAGTGCACACACGTGCATAAAAGAGTAGTTGCGATATAATAACGCCTTCCTGCTCCATATGGTCCACGTCACTGTCTTGATACGTTCCGTGAAAGCTTTTTTAATGGTAGATTGCTGGAGGTGATGTTTGCTGCTTGCCTCTCGTAAACTTGATGATCAGGTGCGCTTGATTTCTGAACCACTGGTGTTTTCTCATTTCATTTAATCATGGCAAAACATATGCTACTAAATCCTGTCAACTTAAACATTTCTTTCGATTCGGTGTTTTCACCAGCAACATGTTAGAAAAAGAAAAAATTGTGATCTGTCTACTACCTGAAATCGTTCGTGAAAAACAGAGATTTTGTGGATTGCTTCCCTCGGTGTTGTGCTGAAAAATAAATAGAAGTATCAAAAGGCAAATATTCAATTTTTAATAACAAATAAGTAAAAGCATTCGGCTAATTTATTGCTGCTGCAGAGAATTTAGCATCTGAATAGTTACTATCGAATGGTTGCCATGTACGCTCGATAGCGTAAGTAATAGCAAGTTTTGCATAAGGGAAAATGAACAATTCCCGTTAACGGTTGTTCTTTGAAAATGACTTATATGCGTTTTATTGCCTATTCTGGCCCTCTAGCACTGCACAGCAAAAACGCGTAAAAATGCATGACTACGTATCGATAGCAGTGGTATGCGCCGCCGTTAGCCAGAGAATTTTTTCGTTCTGAGTTCTTTTCTTACTCTGAAGGTTTTAACTGAGGCGGTCTTTAACATATCATTCTAAGTCCTAAAGATTTTGACTTGGGAGAAACTAAACTTTTTTTTTTTGAAAATAAGGGAATTTTGTTAAACTCTGAAGATTTAAAGTCAGCTCGCATTTCTCTCTCTCTCTTTACCGCTGTAGGAAGCAATTCAGAAGTTTCAGTGAGAGCGAAACAATTGCTTTATTCTGATGGGTTTGTCTTGAGTAGCTAGTAGAAGACCTTTTTTTACCATCATTCCACCAGTACAGGCCCTTACGAAAAACTTAAATACTGACTTCTCTTTTTTGATCCCTTCTATCTGCATATGTACGCAAAACTTCTCCATGCTTTTCTCAAGAATATGGCAACACATGATGAACAGCGAGGCGATCATCAGGCATGCGCATTCTCCGACGAACCCAACATAGATATCAATAAAGATCAGCTTATGGTCAAACAGCGGCTCCAGATAGACACTGCTGCTGAGCCGAAAACTTAGCACTGAAATCGAGTTTTTTGCTCGAAGCTCATTTTCCTTGACGCTCAAATTAGATTTAGGCAATGGCATCTCTAGTACCACATTTTGTGCTGTAAAATAGTGATTCGAGCTGCCAGTGCCAAAACCAGTCCCTCTACGATACCTCAGCTACTCACTCAGTCATTTACGTAATTTCTTGCTGAAATGTTAAGAGAATATTCCCAGCTCGCGAGCAAAATATTTCGAATTCAGCCCCCAGGTGTGCGTGGTGACTTCAGCTGTTTATTGGCTCAGTGAACTGTTTTTCTACTGCTACTCACTTCTTGTTAGCTACGAACATCTTTGACAAGCCATATTACTTTGCTTCATTGTCGGGCGGACTTTGTTTATATGGTTTCACAAACCTGCACTGCAGGCTGAAATTGCAGCAGAAGCAACGAACACGAAAATTACTAGGCCAAACGAGAATCGTCGAACTTTTCGGGCATCATCCAGCTTCACGTCAAATTGTGCTAGCTGTACCAAAACTCGTTCATGTATGACATGCAGCCGAGAGCCAAGATGAAATAGATATATAGATGCTAATGCACCACTAAAGTTACACATTTTAGTAACATACAGCTCAAAAATGAGAAGATATGCTGCGCCGGTTTTTTGCTCCCTGGGGCGTCTCAGCCACAGTGCATCTCTGCTGCCGATTCCACATAATAGACATTTCGCTTGTGACTCACTGTACATTGATTTAGTTTAGAACACCATCTTCTTTTTAGTGATAGATTGCTCAAATACACGTGAGAAAATTTGGAGACTCAATTCGGCTATGCCTGTAGCTTTAGTGACTACTGTGATTATTGTAAAGAAATCCGGCGTGGCTTATCAGAATCCAGCAAAAACGTGTTTTGTGTGAATTTTGAGGAACCATGCACAAAAACAAGAGAAGATCACAAGAGCTCAAAAAATTTCACCTGACGATGAAGATGAGATTAATGAGGACAGATGCGAAGTGCTCATCGATTCGCTGAAA